CCTTTTCCCATTTTTATAATCTCTTTGGGATAGAGACCTAGAAGTGGTATTACTGGGTTAAAGGGTATGCACAATTTTATAGCCCTTTGGGCATAGTTCCAAATTGCTGTACAGAATGGTTGAATCAGCTCACAATTCCACCAACAATGCATTAGTGTTCCAATTTTCCCACATCTTCTCCAATATTTTATCATTTTCCTGTTTTGTCATGTTAGCCAATCTGATAAGTGTGATGTGGTACCTCAGAACTGTTTTGATTTGCATTTCTCTAATCAACGGCTAGCTTGTTTTTATCATGAGTATGCTGGAATTGTGGCTGGTTAATGTGCTGATCAATGTTCCTAAGTCTTTCAAAGGAGTTTGTCATTATAATATTGTTAGCACGTGTATATATATATACACACACACGCATACATACATATATACATATGTACATATACATACATGTATACACATATATACATATACACATACACATATATACATACATGTGTGTATGTATATATGTGTGTGTATATGTATGTATATGTTGTTCTCCTGGTTCTGCTCCCTTCACTCTGCATCAGGATATATGAATCTTCCAGGTTTCCCTGAAACCATCCCCTTCATTATTTCTTATAGCACAGTTTCTTCTTGGGCATACATTTAGCCACAAGTTTCTAGTAACATACTATAGAGGTGATTCCTGAAAGTATAGTCTTCTCTTTCCTCCCCTTCCAGTCTCCTTACATTTTACTTCCCTACATCTAGCCAACAATCCACTGACACGGACCTCTGCTGTTGCTCACAGACCCCTGATCTCTGGACTCCATGTCTTTTTCCTGGTTGTGCCCCCTGCCTGGAATGCTCTCCCTCTTTATCTCCACCTCCTAGCTTCCCTGGCTTCCTTCAAGCCTCAGCAGAGGTCTCATCTCCTGCAAGAAGCCTTTCCTGCTCCCATTTAATGCAGGAGCCTTCCCTTTGTTGATTATTTCCAATTTATCCTGAACACAGCTTCTTTGTATGGAGTACTTGGCATGTTGTCTTCCCCATTCGACTGTGAGCTTCTGGAGGGCTGGAGTCATCTTGCATCTTTCTTTCTATTCCTAGCACCTAGTATGGGAAGACTTGTATAAACTCTTATGTGTATGTGTTTCTAAAAAGAGGTTTGGGTTTTCTTTCACTCCCAATGGGGGCAAGGGGGGAGGGATAGTTGGATTTTCATTGTTTGAAAGAAAAAAAAGCATAGGAAGGGGTCAAGTTATGAAGGCAATTAAAAGCCAAATGGAGGATTTAAGGTTTGAACCTGTAGGTAATAGAGAGCCACTGAAGAATATTGAATAGAAGGGTGTCACGGGTCACACCTTCATTTCTGAAAGATCAATTTGGCAGCTGAATGAAGATGGACTGGAGTGGGGAGATAGTTGAGGCAGGCAGACCCCCAGCAGCCATAGTCCAGGTGTGAGGTGATGAGGGCTGCACCAGGAGAGGGTGTTGTGAAAGTAGGATCCGGCAGGACTTAGGACATTGCCTAAGAGGCAGTGAGAGTGAGGAGGTGAGGGTGACTGCTAGGCTGCAAGCTTGGGTGGCCAAAAGGACAAAGGTGCTCTCGACAGTGTAGGGAAGTTAGGGATAGAGGAGCATTTGGGAGGAAGAAATGAATTGTTCTGGAAGCGGAGTTTAAATGTCTATTAGACACCCAGTTGGAGATGTGAGACAGGAGGTTAGAAAGGATGTTAGGGCTACACTAACAGATCTGAGAATCACTGACAAGAGCTGAGAATTGGATCCATGGGAGCCAGAGAGATCACTGAGTGAAACAGTATCAAGGGAGAAGAGCTAGGAGGACTCCCCCAGGCAGTGGGTGTGGCCTGGATGAAGATCCAGCAAAGGAGCTGTGAGCTGGGGAGGAAGAGAACCGAGGGAGAGCGGTCCAGTACCTGGAGAGGAGAGAGACCCGAGAGCAGAGGGTGCCTGATGCCGCCGAAGGCTGCAGAAATGTCGAGGGAGAGCCGTCCGCTCGGGCACTTGGCAGAGAGCAGCTTCAGCCGGATGAGGGAGTCAAAAGACAGACGGTAATGGAAAGAAGTGGAAGCACCTGAATGGCTTTCTCAAGGTTAGCAAAGAAAAAAAAAAGCCGAGGCACAGGAAGACAGCTCACCTCAAGTGCAGGCTTTTTGGGAGAAGGAAGATATTGGCACTTTTGTAGGCAGTAGGGGAGCAGGAGTAAACAGAAAGAGAATGAAGATCAGTGGTGATAGAGGGCAGCAAGGTGGCCCCCCAGTGGATAGATCCGCTGGGCTCCGAGTCAGGAAGACTCCTCTTCCTAAATTCAAATTCGGCCTCAGACACTTCCTAGCTGTGTGACCTGGGCACGTCACTTCACCCCATTTGCCTCAGTTTCCTCATCAGTAAAATGAGCTGAAGAAGAAAACGGCAAACCCCCCAGTGTCTTCACCAAGAAAACTCAAAAAAAAGGTCACGAAAATGAAGGTCTGACATGACTGAAAGTGACTGACAACGGGCTGAGAAAGGGGGCAATGTGCTGTAGAAGACGGGATGGAATGAGGTCATTGGTGCAGGCAGAAGGGTGTGCCTTGGCAGGAAGGGGGAGCCACCTCTGCGAGTGAAGCTGACAGTGGCAGAAGGCATGCGGGAGGGAGCTCTCAGAAAACAGCCACAGCTTCTTCAGTGAGATATAAGGCAAGGTTTTTGCCAAGAGGGTGGAGAAAGGGGGGAAAGAGGGGAAAGGAGAAGGTCTGGAACAGCCCCCGGGGTAGTGGGGCTGAGTCCATTCTACTGCTGTTGTTCAGTAGTTTTCAGTCATGGCTGACTCCTCATGACCCCATGAGGGATTTTCTGGGCAAAGTCCCTGGAGGGGCTTGCCATTTCCTTCTCAATCAGCAGGGACTGGAGAGGAAACCCACTGCCTGCAGGTGAGTAGCCAGAGTGGGAACAGGACCCAGGACTCCACAGAGGAGTGTAAACTACCTCGAAACAACATGAACAGGAAAGAAGTTCCGACTATCCCACGGGAACACTTGCACCTGACCCGGCCTGGAGTTGGAGCCACCATCTACATCATTACTTTGTCCTGCTGCTACCCAGGACAACTAGTCTCTTGTGAGCAAACTCCCCCAATTAAGCCTAACAAACCCTATTCATAACCAACCTGGTGTGAGCCCCTCTTTGGTAACTCAGCATCCATTTGGAGGGTATGCCACCCTACAATTAGCATGAGTAAGGCAGAACGCTTCTGCCCCCTTACACCACCCACCTTGCTTACTGCAAGGATGTCCTTCTCTCTTCCAGGATGAGGCCCCAGAGGTAAACCAAGGCCAGTGGTGGCTCCAGCGGCCACATAGACAGAAGCAGGCTTCTGGATGTGGCCAAAGTGGAATTTTTTTTCATTCATACTTGTAACAAGGATTTTGTTTTTCTTGCTTTCTCAATTGATAGTGGGGGGGGGGGGAGAGGAAAGGAGAGAACGCTGACATGAAAACAAAATTTAACTTAAAATTTTTCTTAATTGGAAAAAGTCATAATTAAATAAAAGAATTCCATAGTTCATGACCCTTTAGTGGAACACTTCTGACTGACATCCATGTCTGTGGGTAGCTGAGCAGGGAAGGAGGGAGTCGTGAGAAGGGAGCAGATTGAAGGACTCTCCATACCAAGTCCAGGTCCCCCAGCATGAGGACAGGAGCAGTGTCCTGGAAATTGGCAGACGACAGCCACCATAATCTCAATTGGGTGAAAAGCATGAACTCAACTAACTTTGGAGAAAGAGAGGTGGTGGGGTAATGGTGGGAAAGGAAAACCCTGGAAGTGACCGGAGGGGGTGGGGGGCAGACAAGGAGAGCTGGCCCTGACCTGGGGAGGGCCACGAGGGGCCGTTTCATCAGGAAAGAGACAGGTGGCAGTGAGTACAAGGTGGAAGGAGGAGAATGAAGGTGTAAGGATGAAAGCAAGTCCCACAACTATGGAAAGGGAATTTCAGGACACTGGGAAGGGTAGGTAGGTGGGCCTCCAGGTAGGGGCGGGGGCAGGCGTAAAGGAACAGGCCGTGGGGTGCAGGCGAACAGTCCCAGCCAGGGTTCAGAATACCTGAGGCAGGGTGAGTGCAATGGGGGGAGAATGCTAACCCTTGAGGAGGAGTTCAGGCAGATCATCAGTGACTGGGGAGAAGGCAGGCAAACACTGTTCAGGGCTCTCCCTCAATGCCCAACCTCACAGCAGATGGCAGAGAATGTCGAGTCTTGTGAGGTCCAGCTGAAAACAGGCTGGAGCCCAAGGCACAGCCTACACAGTCCAGGACTGGCCTCCAGTCTTCAGCACCACGGAGAAGGCTCTGGGATGGTGATGGGGCTGATTCAGGAGGGGGGCCACAGGCATGTGAGCTGACCCAGGGACAAGGGCAGAGGGCACCCTACCAAGTCCCCGAGGCAAAGACAGAGGCCACAGGTCGCTGGCCAGGCCAGGATAAGGACCTGGGGCTGTTTAAGCCTCCATGTTACTGCTCCCCTGGTAAAAACCCACCAGTAAGCCTCTATGGGAGGGAGCTCCCAAGGCTAAGCCCTTCCCATGAGGCTAAAAAACACTGCAGGATCACACAGGAGCGAGGCAGCAGAGACAGGATGTGACCCCAAGCCTTCTAACCACCCCCAAATACACACTGGCTCATGGATGTGCAATCATTCCTCACACACATCTGTTTGAATGGGTGATTTAAGCAGGGAGGCACATTCGAAGGCCAGTCTGGCTAGATTCCGTGGCCGCAGAAGACAAACACAGACATGTCCGCTGTGCTCTGAGGCTTACACAGCACAGCACTTCCTCAGACTGAGTCAAGCCTGTGCTTACCAGAAGGACATCCTTCTTTTTTCTAGGATGAGGCCCCAGAGGTAAACCAAGGCCAGTGATGGCTCCAGGGGGCCACCTGGCCTCACTCGAGATGCATTATGGTTTCAAGGTGTACTGTGAAAAATAACTGACTCAATAAGATATTTACAAGCATTTATTTGGGTAAATACATAAAATATAGTTTTAGGATATATATTTGAGAAAAACTAGATTTCCAAAGAAAAAATATCATATAACAAGAACACAATGACTGAAATTAGTGTTTTTACATGAGAACCGACAGCTTTAAGATTCAGAGAAATTATTTAAAATGGTGCCCAGCTGAATGCCCCTGCTGCACAAGGCCTGAAGTTTCTCTGACAAATCATTTTTAAATGCATGTAGACGCTGCCACTTCAGGCTACAAAAAGAAAACAAACCTTTGGCAAGGAAAGCATTAGTCCATAGCAGCTTTGGAAAAATTATTTACTTTCTATCAAAATTTCACAACAATCCCTGCAATGTCTCATCCCAGGGCAGCTGGGGGCCAGGAGCGTGTGCAAAATCTACAAGCTATTTCAGAAGGACACAAGCAGCTGGCCTCCGGCCTGCAAGAGGCCAGTGACCATAAACATGCTCGGCCCGCCACCTCCTACATGCTTCATCTGAATCCTTCTGCGTTACCCCTCTGGCAGGGAAGAGGCACAGTGCTAGGAGGAGTATTGTGGAGAAAAGTCCTAAATCCCTTAGTAAAATCTTGATGCAAACCAAGCCTTGCTGAAACAGCCTTCCCTGCTCTCTGGCCACAGCAAGGAGGTTAAGCAGAGGCTCCCTAAGGCCTTCAGGGTCGTCTTCTCTATCCTGCAGCACCACCCGTCCCCCAACACTGCAAAGAGGAGAGTCCAACATGTTCACTTGCAAACCAGACTTACGAAAAATCACAAGGACTGACCAGAAGGAGATCAGAAAGCTGGGGCACAATGCTCTGTGCCAAGCTGGCTCCCCCGCTGGCTGTGGGCGCCAAGAGAGGTTAGTAGTGAAAGGTCTGCACAGACACAAGAGCAATAGCAAAGTCGAGACCCATGTGCCATTGGTGCCGAAGCCCAAGACCCAAGCAAGCGCCCCTCTGACGGCACCAAGAGCCAGACTGCCCGCCTGCCCGGGCTCAGGCCTTCCCCACAGGCTTGTAGCAGGCGTCTGGCTGCCAGAGGCGAATGTCCACAAGCACCTGGTTCAGTTTCTGCATCCACAGGTCCCGCTCTTCTTTAGTATCGGCGGACAGCCAATTCCTATGGGGAGAACCGAGAACACGTCAGCAGCTGGCGGGGAGCTTCCCGAGGGCCGAGGAGCAAGAACGTTCCCAGGCTAGCCCTCCTGGAGTCCAGCTAGGCCCTGCTCAGGCACCAGTCTCCCATGGTTGATGCTCAGGCACTGCTTCCTCTGTAGGAAGCTCCCTGGCTTTCTCCATTAAAAGTGGTGTGACTTGGCTAGCGGCTAACCAAAGATGAAGAAAGCCGCTTCTGCTGCAGACCTGCAAGGGAGAATGCGCTCCAGGGACCCTCTGCTCTTATTCGCGCAAGGCCAGGCTGCTTCCTACAACAAAGGTTCGTCTCTTCTGGCTGCTCCGAGGGCTGCAAAGGCCAACCCCCATCCTTCCCCACTAGCCACCCCCCTGTATTTCTACCCTGGCGAAAAGGCCACCATTCCTCGGGCTTCGGGCCTCATCATGTAGCCGAACTGTGCTCTTCCAAAGTCCTGGCTCTTCCTCTGGCCCTGCTGCTCCCCCCATCCCCTAGAGGTCTTTGGGCCATGCCCTCACAGGCCCCTGGGCCAGTCCCCCGGGCTCCCCTCTTCTCCCTCCATTCCTCCCCAGCTCCCCCTGGATTCAGATCAGCTCTATGCAGACGATTCTCATTTATCTTTCCAGCTCCAACCTCTCTCCTGACTCCGGGTCAATGTCAGATGTCCCAGATGTGTCCAAACGTGACCTCATTGCCTTTCCCGGCAAACTCTCTTCTCTTCCAAACTTCCTGTTACTACCAGAGGGCGTTGATGTCCTCCCAACTCACCTGGCTTTCAAATTAGGTGTCATCCTCGACTCCGCACTGACACAGCCATCCTTTCTACCTCCTCAACGTCTCTCAAATACAGGCCCTTCCTCTCCTCTGACCCTGCCCCCACACTCACATATGGACTATTGCAGTAGCTGCTTGGGGGTAGGGGGGTCTGCCTGCCTCCAAACCATTCTCCATCCAGCCACCAAAGCTATTTTCCTAGAGGTCTGACCACCTCACACTCCTCCCCTACTCTATAAACTCCCATGGCTCCCCATCGCCTCTACATCAAATATAAAATAATCTTTGGAATTCGAAGCCGTTCATAACCTGGCCCGGCCCTGCCATTTACCTTTCAGGGCAGTGACACTGGCCTCTTGGCTGGTCCTTGAACAGGACACGTTCCCCACCTCCAGGCATCTTCTCTGACTATAGAGCTCCCTGCCAACGGCTCCTACCAACCTCCTTGGCCTCCACCTTGTGCAGGACACTTTCCCCAGCCCCTCTTAATGCTGGCGCCTCCCTCCGCTCATTATCTCTGGCTTATCCTGCAGGAGGTCTGTCTGCATGTGGTCTCTCCCATTAGATTGGATGCTTCTGGAGAGCAGGGACTGTCTCCTGCCTTTGTCTGTATCCCCACTGCCTGCCACACAGTAGGCATTTCATCAATGCTCACCGGCAGATTTTTCTGGCACTGCCATGTGGCTGCCAGGCATAGATTGTCACAGCTAATAAGGAACCACAAGATGGGAGTCACTCAGAGGAGGACGGAGCCATGAGAAGCATCCGAGGTGTCAGAGATGTATGACAGAAAAAGAAAATGTCTTGTCCTCTGGTGGGACAAGGGGGCACCTGGGCTCCAGTGCCTGTGGGGAGGGTCCTCGACAAGACACGACAGGCCAGAGTCACTGACTATGGCCAAATCCTATCACCCCCAGAGCAGTGGGACAAGGTGTTTGCTAGGGCTGCTCTCCACGGAGCCCCTCCTTACAAGGACTGGCCTTTCGTGACAGGCCTGTTTGGACTCTCTCAGGACCCTGGGCCCCCGCCTTCTGTGGGGGCTGTGAAGGGCCTGCTGCTGCCGGCTTCCTTCCCTTGGCTCCCCAGTGGGGCATCCCGCCATCAGAAGCCACGTGGGCATGTCCAGGGTCCTATCACTACGCTCAGCACCCCATTCCCCTCAAAGACTGTCAACATCTTTCCTCAGGTTTTCTAGCTCCATTCCCTCTAGCTAATAATGGGCTGTTGGCTTCCCAGGGGGGTTCTCTTTCCACGGGCTCTTGGAGCCTCTGAAGAACTCCGGGGAGGGGGCGGAGGGCTCTGCTGGTGAGGAAACGCCTCCCCACACCTGCCCTTTGTGCCAGACTCTGCTCCCTCCTCCCTCCAACTGCCCCATCCCCTCCTCTCTCCAGGACAAACTGCCCCCATTCGTTCCATGACAAGCACTGGCGGCCCTTCACCCCCACCCATCCCATCCCAATGCTCTCTGGGCTCCCAGGTTGGGATGCGGGTATGGCAGATGTGGGGGATGAGGGCCCAAGACACCAGGCCCCTCCCCCAGCCAGCCCAAGATGGCATTCCCTTCTCTGGCAGCCATTGCTGGCTGACTCACATGGAGTACACGAGCCCACGGAAGCTCCTACCACAAACGGAGGCTGGGACAGCTGTAGGGGGCACCCAGATCCCTGGCCTCGAATGGGCTGGCCACAGTCACGCACCTTCCCAAGCTCCCATGCTCACTAAAGCCCTTCTGCACATCTGGCCGCCTCCAGCAGAAATGGTCCGAGAGCAGGAAGGAGGTCTCTCCGAGTGTCCTACTTCCCGCGTCTGGCCTCTGTCCCCGACCTGTGCCCATCCCCCAGCCCGAGCAGGGCGTGCACAGTGGGCAATACTCACTTGGTGACACAGAGCGTGTCTCTGCACTGACTGACCAGGGTCTCTCTGTCATCCTCCTGCTGCGGCCGGACAGTAATCAACTCAAACGTGTTTCGGCGGGCACAGAATTCTCGGTTGGCCGGCTCAATCTGACGGCTGGTACAGTTGGCCAGGTTTATCCTCCCTATGGGGGTCTTCAAAAAATAAAATCAAAAACACACCAGGAAACTTCCACCTCCTAGGTCACATGCAAGAATGACGCTGAACATTTTTATTTACTCGTGTCAAACTACTGATACAAAGCTCCTCAAAATCACCATTCCATCATCCGCCATCATTTTCTGGGTACAAAGTACTCCTGTGAGACAGCCTGCCCCTCCCGGAGCTCCCAAGGGAACTAGGCTGGCCACCACTGCCAGGCGGTGGCGGGGAGGGGGGTGAGCCCCAAAGTGAGCCCATGTGACCTTCTCAATGATCCTCCACAGCCCGGCACTGGCTGGCTCTCCAGCCATCACCCTACGCTGCCCTTCAGAGCCAGGAGGGAGGTGTCTTCCAGAGACACTCTGGGAGAAAGAGGGCTGAACAAAGCTGCCAGCTGAAGAGCGTGTCTCCCTCACTCCTCGGCGTGCCCAGCAGAAAGTTGACCCACCTACACAAGAAGCACTTCACCCACACCCAAAAGCCGGCACTACCTTTCGCTTCTCGTCATCTGGGTACGTCCAGTAGGAGATGCAGTTTCCAGAGAGAACGCACCAGCGCCGGTGCCAGGCTCCAAACCCGCTGACGTCCTCAAAGATGGTCTGCAGAAAACAAACGGCAATGGGGAACGGAGGCCAGGGTGTCAAGGGAAAGACGCTGGCCGAGTCTCGGCCTGGACTCATGCGTGAAACGGGGGGTTCGGCAAGTCTGGGACGTGGATCAAATCCTAGGAATCAGCAGTCTGGGCGCAGCCCAAATCACGAGAGGATCAAATGGAAAACCGTCAAAGGCTCGAATGTCCACGTCAGCCCTGAGCACACTGAAGACCCTCTGCCAATGATTCGATTTGCTTTAATCATCTCTATTACAAGATGGTCATCACATCTATTTTTAAAGCAGGCTTTAAAACATTTCACCGAGGCCTTCAGAACGGTGCTGCAGAGTCCAGCCCAGGACAGAGAGAAGCCCTGCCCCCACGCCCTCAGCCCCCCACCTACAAACTGCTCCCGGGGGTGCTGGCTGACACCATTTGCACCACTGGACGCTTTCTCTAAGAAACAGTGGCTTTTTCTCATTTTATTAGTGATGTGATCTCTTTCAATGAGGCCAGCTGAATTTCATTTCAAAGCACGATAACTCATCAGGTTAACAACCAAACGGCTTGGTGGGACTGGGAGATCTTGTCCTTCCCTGCCTCTACATACAGCCACACTTGTTTCCCCTTACAACAGACCCATTCTATTCCTGGGGAAGCACAGAGTGCCACAAAGCCCCCCAACTGCTGTGTGCTCGGCAGCCCAAGTTCCTGTTTGCCTTTCTTGCGCCATTTGCTCTGGACAAGAAAGACCTCAGAAAATCTGATGGAAGGCAGCCGTGACCGGGGGACAACAGGCCCGTCTTTCAATCCACAGCTCAGCAGGGAAGCAACAGGTCCCACCGAGCCCCTGTCTGACCGGCGCCGTCTGCTGCCTCGGAGGGGACTGGCAGCCTCCCCTCAAAAGCGACTCCTTGTCAGGTGAGGCGGAGGGGAGATGGGAGGGGCTGGGCCAAGAAACACCGGACCCAACTCTTTAAATCACAGACTTTAAATCACAGCCCGAAGCAGAGCAAACACTCAGATGTGACAGTCTGTGGATTTCATCAGTCCGAGTTCCCAAGAAACCCTAGGGCAGCTGCCAATCGTGCCACAGCAAAATGTTTTTCTTTGAAAAGTATATCCCCTCCCCCGCCAAATCAACTGAAAACTTCTGAAAAGTCAGAATCTAAAGCTCTCTCAAGTTGGGCCATGTTTCTGAAAAGGGAATTTCAAAGCACATCTACTGCCACCTACTGGATCCATTTGTAACTACACATATTAGAAAACAACTTGGAAATCAGGTTTTTGGGGAATCCTTCCTCATCCTCCTCCTGCAGCCTTCCTCCCTTTGACCTGCTCTGCCACTCTTCCCCTACCCCAGACCCGGGGTCCCTCACTCCTTGGAGGGCACTAGGGCATTTTCTGCCGGCACCACTGCCTTGGTATTTACAAATGCACTGCCATGAGACCTTTCTGGTTCCACCTCCCCCACCGCCTTCTCACTGAGGTTCTGGAACCCTGACCCCATCCACGTCCACATCCAGTTCCCCCTCCCTTGGATCACAGGGAGTCAAGCATGGCTTTGTGGAGCTCTGCAGCAGGAACGGGAGAGGAGCCAGGGTGCAGGCCTGATCCTGAGGGTGGCCCGCGGCCCCCGCCCCAAGTCTTTGGCAGCTTTCACGAACAGTCAAACGAATAGTACTCTTTTAGACTTTTGTAAAGGGGACAGAATAAAATCAAGAAGTGTCACTTACCAGAAAGCCCTTTTCTTCCACAAATGAGTTCACCTGGCACTTTATTTTTAAATAAATATGACCTTCCAAAGGACATAAGAAAGGTACCTGTGGAGAGAAAGGCCGCTGTTGGGAGCCGCCTGCCGAGAAGCAGGATTGACAAAGCAACACCCGGCCTCCTGGGAGATGGGTGCTCTCAGGGGCAACTAGGTGGTGCAGTGGATAGAGCACCGGCCCTGGAGTCAGGAGGACCTGAGTTCAAATCCGACCTCGGACCAAACACTTGATGCTTACTAGCTGTGTGACCTGGGCAAGTCACTTGACCCTAATTGCCTTAAAAAAAGAGAGAGAGAGAGAGAGAGAGAGAGAGAGAGAGAGAGAGAGAGAGAGAGAGAGAGAGAGAGAGAGAGAGAGAAAGGGGTTCTCAAGAGCACCACAAAGAAGCCAACTCTCCAGAGGCGTTCCTCTAACAAACGTCCGCTGGGTCATCTCGGAAAAAACCACCCACGAGAACGGGGTCCACTTCACCAAACCACGCTGGAGGAGAGCTCGGGCAGGCCAAGGCGGGCGGAGCCATCCATGTGGATGGCTACCATGTGTCCCCACGGAGAACCAACAGCCCTCTCGCATGGGCATCCCGGGGCCTGGCACCCAAGACCTCCTTCTTTGGTCTCTGCTTCGCCAAGTCAGACGACCGAAAGCAGAGGCAGGGTCTGCGGTGACACGTCGCCGAATGTCAGAGGTGGTGACAGGCGTCACAACTGACATCCCGTCCCTCCATGGGATGCCCTATCCCCAGGCTCACCCTGGCCTCACAAAATATGACACAGCAGGGCCCGGACCCCTGGCCCTTCCACGGACAGCGCCAACCAAGTCTCAGGACAACATGGCACAGCGTCTCCCCTGCCAGCAGACACCTCTCCCACAGCACCAGACTCCTTGTTTTGTGCCCTTCGTGATTCTCTTTCATTCCAATTCTTCTGAGGGGGATGAGAAGCCTGCCGCTGGCTGGCGGAACCCTACACCCCTTCCCAGAGGCAGCAACCCCCCCACTGACCACCCCACTGCCTGCCTGCCTCATTAGGGTGCCTTCCACTGTCTTGGCTTTTCCAGAGACTGCTTACATCCCTTCCCCTCTTAGGAGGCTGCCCTTGAAAGGGTGGATTGGTAGCATTCGGGTATGAAGCCCCTAACCAAAGCACATGGGAGCTCAGGAAAGGTAGGCCAGGGAGCACTAGGGGAAAGGGACGGCCCACGTGTTGGGCTGGGAAGCAGGAGGTCCCTCTGGTGACTATGAGCTGGCCCCTTCTACCTGAGGAAGGCCACAGGGGCAGCAGACATGGCCCAAGATGGGGGAGGGGGATGGGCTGCACTCTGGAGTAAGAGATCTTTAGTCACCAAGACTGCTCCAAGGACAGTCACGGCACCGCCCCTGGGCAACAGGCTTCAGTTTCATCCTGCCGGAAGGACACACGCACAACTGGCAATCAGAGGGGCTGGCAGGGAGCCCCAGACAGGGAAAGCCCAGGGCCTCAGAGTGAGGGGGCATCGACAGTCAGCAATGTCTGACAAAACGGGGGGCAGGGAGGGTCTGTGCACTCAGGGACCTGGGATGTCACATCTACCTGCTCAACACAATATTCCAAGAATTTGGGGGGACGACAGTTAAGGTAGGAAACAATCTGCCCCCTCAAACCTTCAAGTTTTCAGCAATATCTGTTTCATGGTACAAGAGAGGTTTGGGTTTGCCCTGGACAAGCCCTGAACTGAGATTCTTTATAATTCCCTCTATCTTCTCCTCTCTCTGACTCCTCTCTCCTTCTCTCTCTCTCTTCTCTCCCTTCTCTCTCCCTCTCTCTCCTCTCTTCCTCTCTCTTCTCTCCTCTCTATCTCTCTCTCCTCCCTCCCTTCTCTCTCTCCTCTCCTTTCTCTCTCTCCCCTCTCGTCTCTCTCTCCTCTCTTCCTATCTCTCTCCTCTCCCTCCTCTCCCTCTCTCTCTCCCTCTCTCCCTCCTCTCCCCTCTTCCTCTCTATCTCTCTCCTCTCTCTCCCTTCTCTCTCTCTCCTCTCTTGTTTGTTAGAGCCCTTTAAAAGTAACGACAATTCAGTAAACTGCTTTCTGGCACCAGAGCTACAGACCAACACTCCTGCTGACAACGACCCCGAGACTCTCGCTGGGTCGCTGTGTTGCTCAGGCATTTTTTCAGCTGTGCCCGACTCTCCGTGACCCCACCTGCTGCTCCCCCTGCAGCACTTCCCCACTGCCCCACTATGTACGTACTGAGGGCACGTTGGGCAGCTAGGTGGCGCTGCAGCGGCAGAGTCAGGAAGACAGCTTCCTGAGTTTCAGATCCATCCTCAGACATTTACTGACTGCGTGACCCTGGGCAAGTCACTTGACCCTGTTTGCCTCAGTTTCCTCATCGGTAAAATAAGCTGGAGAGGGAAACGGCCAAGCGCTCCAGTGTCTTTGCCAAGAAAACCTCCGTGGGGTCGCAGAGTCAGACACAACTGGAATGACTGAACACTGTCCATCTCTATGCACTCCAGAGCTGCGCCCCAACATTCCCGGGCAGACACCAAAGGAACGGACCCTCGAACGGAGGGTTTCCACCGGCACTGACAAAAAGCTACTCTCACTCAGGAACTTTACGCTCAACAAACGACACTATTTGTAGCATTTCCGTGATTTGCCCGATCACAGCAGAGAGCCCGGGGGAGGAGAGAAATCCGGAAGCCCCCACGCATGCACAAGAAACAGCCCTTCTCCCTCCCTGGAAGAGCAAAGAGAAGGAAAGCCAGGACCCCCCGCGACTCGGACAAAGGGTGATTGGCACCAGGTCATCAGTCAGGTTCTTTCAGGTTAGTGAGGCAGGCAGAGCATGCAGCCAAGAATTAGGGGGGCCGTCTACTACACGGATTAGTTGTAAGCAAATTAAATATAGCAACCTTGTTGTGGAACATATAACCCAGTAGCTCTCGCTCTTTTACATCATAATTTATCTAAAATGTGAAAATAAAAAAAGAAAAGAAATACCTGGATCACTGCTATTTGTTAAACTAGCTGAAGTTAATCGAATTTTAAAAAGGTTTTATCTTTAAAGTTTTCAGCCTTAGGAAAGACCTTTATTTACAACTTAAAAACTTGCTCTGTTCAATGATGACCAGCCTAGCGCATAAGATAGGCAACATTCCCCACCCCAAATATTATGATGCCTCAGCATTGCTGGCTTGCACGAGCGGCCCCAAAGAGCTCACTAGCTAAAAGATTGCTGCTTCCCACGTCAGTCGGTGCACTAAAAACCCTGTGACTTCATCTCCACGGCAGCTCCAGTTTCCCCCGTGGGTGCCGGAATCGGCCCCCAGCCTGTGCCTAAGGCAGGGCCCTCTCCCTCGGTCACAGACTGGGACAAGGAGAGGGGGCAGTCACACAAATCTCTGTCGAACATTTCTAAGAATTCAGGAAGACCGATTCAGCCCGACTGCCCCATGGCTAATTGAAAACAGGCCAGTCTAAAGACACTATGCTTCTTCACCTGAGGTTTCTAAAACAGCCCTAATTGTTTTTAAATGGTGACATTATGACCTGAAAGTCCTTCAGTTTTTTTGATTGGGTTTTGGGGGAAAATAAAAATGACCTTAGACAAACTTTTTTTAAGAACATCGGATTACCTTGTCCAAAGCAAATTTGGTGCTTCCTATGGAAGACAGCGAGAGGGCATGAGACCCAACTAGCACAAAGTTGCTGGTGCGCACGGCGTGGAGGCCCCCCGGGCTGGCCGTCACTGCAGAGAAGAGACCCACATTCACCCAGGAACGGAGCACGGGAGGAGCCCGAGGGACCACCACCCCCCACCCCCGGGGGTCTGGCCTTCCTTCATCTCTCAGCCCCTGTCGAGTGCTCGAGACTTGAGGCGGCTCACCTGAAGAATGGAGACTGCTTTTCTAGAAAAGAAAAAGAGGGAAACGTGGATTATATTCTTTCTTTGATGGACCAAAAACAAAACTGGAGACAAGGTGCCAGCAATACTTTTAAAGGGTGATCCAGGCACTGGCGCAGTCAAAAACTCATGCTGATTCCAAGTCAGAGACTCCCCAGATCTAAGCCATTGGTCTTCACGCCCAGAGTCCCCGCCCTCATTTCCACCCGGGAAGAAGTCAGGGCTACTCACAGTGGTGATGGACGTCAAGAGTCGCTTCGGAGTGATGGCCTAGGAGGGAAGCAAGGTCAAGGTAAGGCAGGCCACACAGAGCCAGGGATGAGGAGGCCCCTCTGGGAATGGGGAGGGGCCTAGCCTTTCAAGCCCCAAATCCTCCTCCTCCTCAGGCTGCTGGCCCCCAGGCATCAGCACAGGGCCTGGCCTCCCCCTGTCAGGAGAAAAGAGTCCACCAGCCCTCCGCCCATCCAGGGCAGACCACGGGATTTCTCCTTGTCTCTGCCTCCACTCGGGGCCAAACTCCTAGCAAAAGCCTTTTGCCTTCGCTCCCCCCCGCCATCGGGGATCCAGCCTCTGCGCTTTCTAAGGTTATCAATAAAGGAAAAGCATTTATTAAGTGCTTACCATGTACCAAGCAAAGGCTACAAAGGTCAAAACAGGACCGCCTTCCCCTCAAGGAGCCTGTACTCCGATGGGAGAAGACCCAGCACACGGGGCTGGGGGAGGCGGGTGGCCCCCCAACCCACAGGCACGTCTGCGCCTTCCCTTCCCTCTCCGAAGGAGCCCCCACCCGCCAAGGCCAAGTCCGCAGCTCGCCCCTCCGTTTCTGGGCACGAATCACCACTGGCTGCCTCTAGCTTATCACACTGACCCAAGCTCCTGGCGCTGTCCCGTAATCCAAGTCCACCCTGAGATCCCAGCTGAGTGGGGTGTGACTCTCCAACAGAATCCAGCCTTGGTGCTCCCTCCCACATCAGCCCACTCCAGCTAACTCTGTGTGTGTGTGTGTGTGTGTGTGTGTGTGTGTGTGTGTGTGTGTGTGTGTGTGTGTGTGTGTGTGTGTGTGTGTGTGTGTGTATTGGGGGATGCATGTTGGGGGGGTGAGGGAATGGGTGTAGGTGTGTGCATCAGAGGGCACGTGAGGGGGTGGGTGGGTGTGGGTGTCTCATAAAAAACCACCAGATCTAATTTTTACTTACAACATCACTAATATGAAAATATGTTTAATAGGAATGTAAATGTATAGCCTATATCAGATTGTGCACCATTTTGGGAAGGGTGGTGGGGAGGAAGGGGGACAAAAATTTAAAAAACAAAAAACACCAGAGACAACATTTCTTTGAAAAGAGCACACCGATCGGCCCAGACCATCCATCTCTGCTGAATCCTTGTCTGCACAGGCCCCTTACCTTGGACTTGGACGTCTTCCTCTTCTTGTCAGGCCCCGAGGAAGCTCTCTTTTGTACCTGTGCCAGAGCACCAACATTAACAAACCTGGACCTTCACAAAGTGCAGTCTTCTTTCAAGGATGGGGGATGCTCCTGCGATCCCCTCTCTAAGGGAGGGAGGCTGAGGTTGGCCTCTCGGGGATTCAGGCACCGAGCTGGTGAGCTCCAGGAGCAGGGGACCCTCACACTGACCAAGGAAGGAGAAACCAGCCCAGGTGAAAGCCCCTCGCCAGCCAGGGGAAGCCCGTTGACGTCCAGCACAGGCAAGCTAGGAGGCTCCATCATAAAGAAGGAAAACAAAGACCTTAAGCCCGACAACTCTCGGGGTCACCTCAGAAAGCACAAATCACTCACCAAGCTGTAAACTTCAACACTGATCTCAAAGTCATTGGACACGTCTTGCCTAGAAGATAAAGGAAAGCATCAGTGCCCATTCTTCCACCCTGCTGTGCCCAGCGCCTTGGGCAGGGGGGCCAGAGGGAGGGAGCAGTCTGGTGCCCCTGGGCTGACAGCAGAAGGCCACTCTGCCCCCCAGGGATCACACGGGAGCCAAGGGAATCAGAAAAAACAGAACTGCCCCAGCCCCCAGGAAATCCAGGTTGAGGAGGGGCGAGAGAGGGGATGTGACACAGAGCCAGGGGGCGAAGCCCAGAACGCAGCCAGAGGAGGACTTCAAAGAGCAGAGGCATTTGTCTGGTGCCAGAGCAAGCCAGCAGCCACGTTCAAGGAGAACCAATGGTGTCACGCCCTCCTCCAGAGTCCTCAGAGTCCAGTGGCAGGACTGGCGAGGGTCTGGGAGGCAGTGGGTGACCTCAGCGACTATCACGTCTGACCGAGCATCAAGCGCTCCACAGTACCCACCTCAGCCACCGTCGGACCCCTCTGCCCATTCCACCGGGAGACATCTTTACGTGCTTAGGGCGGACACCCCCTACCTCACCAACGGGTTTGAGACCCCTCAGTCACCCGCCGCTGGACTTTACTGATGAGGGGAAGTCACACGGCCCGACCTGGACTTTCAAAAAAGGGCTCTGGCTTGAGGAAGGTGGACATCAGAAATAGGCCTTGGCTGATTTCATCAGGGAATTCTGCGCTTTAGGGCCCAGAAGCGCCATCCACCAGAGCTGGTCAGCACTTGGCCACACTCGCCCCGTGCCCCAACAAACAAACTATGGTTTTAGAGATACAGATAAAGGACACTCCCGGGTTCGAGGTGCCGTCTGACCCTAAAATCTTTTACTCCTCCAGGGAGGCAGGGGAGGCATGACTCCTGAAAACCAAACCCTTGCGCTTACAGAGTAAACGTGGTGGTGAACGTCAGAGCATCTCCAGTGAGGGAGTCCGCCGTGCTCGCCAAAGGCGTTGCAACCATATTCTCGGCGCCTGCTTTCAGCATAATTAAGTAGTAATTCGTTGCTTCTGCAGAAAACAAGACGTCTGTTTCAGAAATGCGCACTCAGGCTTGGCCACTCTGAAAGGCGCTGAGCGCTGTGTGGAGGCAGCATAACCCAGGCATTATTCCGGCTTTTCGAGCGTCTCAAGTTGCCACAGGCTTGTGTTAGGGGCCGGGACCCCCAGGCTCCGAGGCTGTGCCAAGCCATCCCAGGCTGCCAGTCCAGGTGCCAAAACGAACTGAACCCAGTGATGGGCAGAGCACAGCGGACAGACCACACCCTCAGATGGTCTGGGGCGTGGCTCCACATCCGTGAAAAAATGCTACTTTTCTATGAAGAAGCAACCCCCACGCCCCAACGAAAACAGCCACCTGCTTCAGTCATCCAATTCACCAAGTAAGCAGGTATCATGCCAAGGCAGAGGGCCCCAAGCCCTGTTTGTGAGGGATGGTCAACCCCCCGCACTTCAGGAGGATCTTCCCACCTCACTGCCGTGATCCCGATGACAAACCGCTCCCCTGTCCCCAGTCAGAAGAGGAAGGGTTAGAATGCCCTCATCTCTCAAAGTCCCCCAGTGTATGCATGGCTCGAATGGTGATTCCAGGACAGAAATGGGCTCAGGGGATGAATTCCCGCACCACCCGCCATCTACGCCCAGGTCTGTACCTGGGACACCAGCACCTACCTGCTCTCTGAGCTGGGTCACAGACAAAGTCGGCTTTCAGAGGCAGCCGGAACTCCGAGAGCGAGATGGAGCCCCGCGACGGAGCCAGCTTGCTGGATGCGGGGCCGGCTCGGGGCCGGCGCTGAGGCCCCTCTGCCTTCAGCTTCGTTAGCTCTTCGATCAAAGCTGCCCTCTTCTCGGCTGCAAAGAAATGGGCAATGTTTCAAACTAGACAGTCCCCATCCTTCTGGCCCGTGTCTCATGAGGAGGCAGCGTCCAGGAAAGGCGCCCAAAGGGGCGGCTCCTTCGCAGCTGGCACATCCCCCCCACCCTGCCCAGCTCAGGGGGTCACAGGCTGCCCTAACAGCCCAGGGCTCTTCTTCTGCCCTTCCCCGGCTATGATTCAGGAAGGCACAACAGATCCTCTAGATGGGAAAGGTCAAGAACCTATGGCTGTGGTTAAGAAAAATTCAGATTTGAGCCAAAGAGGGAGAAAAGGGACTTCTGCCTCAGGTGGCCTCTCAGAGCCCACACCCACCCACGCCCACCACATCTACATGCCATGCTCACGCCCATACTTGCTATCAGGAGGAGTCTCTCAGCCTCAGCCTCTTCCAGGGAGCCCTTCCCATGCTCCCCGTCAACACAACAATTCAGAGCCTGGCTGGCCTGGTAGATGACGGTCTGCTGCAAATTGATGTCATTGCTCAGCTCCTGGATCTTCTGCTTGATATTCACGTGGCAGGGGGACTCAGTCTTCCTCTCTTCCAGTTTTGAGGAGACGTCTTCTCTGCGAACGATCACCTGCTTTATCGACGGGCGCTCAGTCCCTTTGAACCTCTGAGAACGATAGGCATCGATGCTGTGGAGAAGGAAGGAGCAATGTCTCAGCAGCAGCCACCCCCGGGCCCACCTTCTGCAGCATCCCCCCAAAAGCGGACAATGCCGAGGCAGGAGCTGGACAGCCACGGCCTCACGCCTCACGATAGGCTCCCAGGTGGCTGGGAGCTCAGCATCCCCTTGTGAGGCCCCACAGAGAAGGGCCCCAGGCAGCGGGATTTCAATTCAGGCCCACCACCAGGCGCAGCCCTCCCTCCCTGGATTAGCCAATGGGAAGCATCACCCACAAACACTGGTTTTCTCCCCATTCACCTATAGAGAAGGTCGCGGTCTCCAGAGCCGATGCTATCCTCAGACTCGGCTCTTGGGACACGAGCCCTTTGGAATTTCCCAGGCTTTGGGCTTTCATCACTTGCACTGCTATCTTTTATCTCCAGACTAGGCAAGGAAGCAAAGACCTGAAAAAAAGCGTATTAGAGGGCAATGAGTACCTAGCGCATCTCCAACATCGAAGCTAAATCACTGTGTCCACATGATCCCCGAGGCAAACCCAAAGCTGACTTCCTAAGAGAAACAGCAAGGGAATAAGTGAAATCTTCCTTGGAATTTACTTTCTAAATACTACTCCCTCCTTCAGGAAATATTCAGAGAGCTGTATAGAAACTGAGGCCAGGCCTGCTTTGAAAATAAGGAAAACGATGGTTTCAGCAACAGGGCGTGACAGCCTTGTCACTGGTGCTGCTCCTGTGGGTCCCCAGAGCATTCCCAGGGATGCCATGGCCTCCTTCCACTCCCCCTCGCTCACCCTGGGCCGGCCCTCTGTAGAGCTTCCTCACCTCAGGACTCCTCACATTTACTGTTTCTACCAACGGGGCCAGTAAGGACATGGAGGAGATGTTCAGGGCCTCCCCTGGCTCATCGAGGCTGTCTGCATCCTCACTGCTCTCCTGGGGCTCCAGGCCCAGCCTGTCTTCCTCCAAGACGTCACTAAAGAGCTCACTGATGACCTTGGAGCTGTTGAGGACGTCGTCATCACCCACATTCTTCTCCCCATCACGTCCCTCTTCTAAAAAGAAAAGAGTTCGACACACCGAGCCTGACACACAATGCAGCCGTGCGCAGGACAGGCGGCCAAGGAAGGCAGCTGATGCCCACTTCTAGGGGGCCCCCACACTGGGCTCACCCTGTGCTGCACCCACTTCTAGGGGGGCCTCTACGCTGGGCTCTGAGCCGCCCAAAGGCTGCAGCCCTGACCATCTCTAACACCCCTCCGGCTGCTGCCGCTGTTGCTGCACAAGACTGACCCGAAGTCTGGGCTGCTGTCAATCATCCCAACAGGACCCGACCGGCATCAAAGCTCTCTGCACAAGGCCCAGGTGACCTGGCATAGGAGCCCAGGGGTCACCCGCCAATACCCACAGCGGGGCCAGACACCTCAAGGAAATGGGGACCCACACACCTGTCTGCTTCTCGACCTCAGGGTCCAAAGAGACTTTCGGGGATTTTTCCTCTAAGAACAGAGTTATTTTCAAAGGACTAGATGTGGTCATTTCGCTTTCAGGAAGGCCTAGAAAACAAGGCGAAACAGCTTTCAACCTCATCTCCTTAAGTTTTCAAACCAGAAAGAATTCCAAAGGCCTAAAGATTTAGTTTAAACATTACCAGCCACTTAATACCAGAAATTACCAACTTCATCATTTTAAAATCGTTTAAAAGAAAAGTATTTTACAATAATAAGACACTTAGATAACCTTGAAGGTTTGCAAAGCACTTTACAGACATTCTCTTTTGAGCCTTACCAATGACTCAGTGCACGTGTTACATGTAGACACATATGTGAACATATGTGTGAACATACGTGTGCACATGTGTGTACATGTAGTGGGAGGGTGTGGCTATGATCATCCCCTTTTGACAGGTAAGGGTCCTGAGGCCCACCTGTGCAGGCCTGGCCTAGGGTCACCCTGTGAGCAGGCTCAGTCCTCCTGATGGTGCTTGGCACACAGTAGGTGCTTAATAAATGCTCTCCAGCCCAGCAGCCCAACCCATCCTGCAGCCTCACATCTGGAATTAGGAAAGGGGTGAGTCAGAGAAAGAGCCTCCCCCCAAGTTTTAACCTCCTTTAATCTAGTAAATAAAACATCTGCCTCTTAACGGAAGCATCAACTTCAAAGTCACTTAAAAACACACTTTTAAAAATTCTGTTGTCCACATCTCCAGCACGAGGAACGCCCGATGTGAAAGGGCCAAGAGCTCCATGTCACCCTGGGGCAGTAACCACAAAAGGGTCTGAATCTCCGATAGGAGGCAGGGCAGGGGTTTGCCCTCGCGAGGACTGAGGCAGGCAGTAAAGGGAGGGCTGGGGGGCTCCCTTTCGTTAAGCAGGCTTCCAGGGGGTCAGAGAATGCCCAAAAAACCAACATACATTAAGCACCTACTGTTTCTCATGCTGGGAATACAAAAAAGAATCCCTGCCCTCAAGGAGATTACACTCTCCAGGGAGCTCGATCAAGGCAACAGAGAGCTGAAGGGGAGGGAAGGGCCAAAAATGGGCCCAGGTAGGCTGGGGTGGGGGGGAAGAGAAAGGGGGAGTGGGCTCTGAGCCAGCCTCTGGACAGAGCTGGGGCCTGGGAGCACAGCCTGGACGAAGGTGTGGAGGCAGGAGCTGGCATGCGTACGACACACAGCAAGTCAGCCACTAGAAGGGCAATGCTGAACATGTGATAAGCCTGGAAAGGGAACTGCCTCCCCTTAATCAGTTTGGTTCCACACATAAGGAGGGACTCCACCAGGAATGGACAAAGCGCCCCTGAAGTGTTCACTACGTACAAAGAAGCCCCAGGCTCTCAGGACGAGGCTGGCCTTCTGTTGGCTCCCCTTTCACAGGCCCAAAGGGAGGGGCCCGGAGGCTGAACCAGCACAAGTTGCAGCACGTGCCTTCCGGCCCCTTTGTCTCTGACGGCAGGGCCCTGTTTCCACCATCCTCACTCTGGACGCCCACCACCACACACGGTGCCTACAGACGTACATGCTACCCAAAGTCGCCGAGTCCGTGCGCCATGAACAGACTCATTCATCCTCCACGGCAGATGTTGGCAGAAATGCGGCCATCAGCACCAGGGCGGGGCCCTCGGGGCCACCACTCTGGCTGCCTTCGAGGGGACACTGAGGCAGCTGTCCACTTGGCTGTGACTCTCTTCCACGTCCTGATTCCTTTCACATGGCTTGGTGTCCTTTTCCAAGCTTCCCCAATAGATTACACGCATCCCAATGGTCACCAAGCACACATTGCACCACCCCACCCCACCCCACCTTCCACCATGTGAAAAAAAGGGCTGCACGGCCCCAGCGCCATTCTGCACAGTCCTGAGAACCGCATCCAAAGCCTTTCCAGTGTCACAGGCCCTTCTCCAAACCGGCCTCACCCTCAACCATGGAATACCAGAGGAGCCACAGCCCCCACCACCTCCCCACCCCCACCCCATGGCGAAAGGGAGAAGATAACGGCCCGCGGGCCATTCTTCCCTTGGTGCACAGCTGTATGACCATGTGCTCACAGGGAGACGACAATGGGGCCCAGCGATCCTACAGGCCCCCAAGGAGCACGGCCACGTCTGCTGTAGCCAGAGACCTGGGGATGGGCCCGCCCACTTAGGGAGGGCTCGCTCTCTCAGGCCGAAGCTGGCTTCTCTGCAGAGGAAGCCAACCAGATGCCACAAGGCGTGTCATTCTGGCTTTTAAGCAGTGAGGGATCTGTTTCCAAAACAGCGATCCCCAGTCCACATTCTGAGAAGACAAACGCACCCACAGGCTTGATGCTGGGAGACTTCACGGGCGTCTGAGAGCCTGCGGCCTGCTCCTTCTCAGAATCAGGCTGGCATTTTCCTGGTAAACCATCCTGACGTGGGGTTTCCTATGGAATGAAAGGGAGCAGAGACAGGTAAGCTCTCCTGCTTCCAGAGTCCCAGACGGGCCGGGTCTTCAGGCGGTGCTGGTCTATAAATATTAGGTTGGATGGCGACAGAAGTCATGTTCTGTAGACCCCACAGACCCCAAGGAGTGCAGGGATTGATTTCAGAGGGTCTCTGAACTGGGGCAGAAAAAGCAGGACAACTCTATTGTTACTAACCTCAAACTGGAATTTAGCCTTTTCTTCAATTATTTAAAAACGCGATGCTAAAAAGGGACCACCAGAGGCTCCAACAGACTGGCTGCCCGGTGAAGAGAACCCCTGATCTCTGTCTCCTCTCTCTCACCCACTCACACTCACACACACTCACACACACACACACACACACCTTCATTCACCATGTCAGTACAATAGCTAAGCTGATCCTCTTTCATGTGTACACGGAACAGTAGTCTGTCCACACCTTTGGGGGATAAGGAAGAGGGAGAGAACTGAGTCTAGCTGGAAAGTCAGAGCCTATGTATGGGGAGCGAACTTCAGCCTGCTCCCTCCCCCCACCCCAAACAGCAATTAAATGTCTATCCTCACAGAGGAAACGTTTCAAAGCCACTGCTCAAAGTCACTTCATCTTCTACCCAGAGCAGACCTCTCCCCTCCCACAGAACCGTCTGACGCCATCCTCTGGCTCAGCGTCAGGGGCAGTGTGTGCCCACTCCCCCAGAGGGGCCACCCTCAAAAGCAGGCCTTTCTGGGCTGGCCACCCATGTTAGAGAAGCCGTCCCAGGAGGCCAACAGATCTAGAAGAGCTCACTGGCTAGCGCTTCTAGTTAGCTGAGGGTCGCACAGGCCTCCTAACCGGAGAATGCGGCCACAGCTGTGTCCCTGATGTGGGATCTGGGAGGATCTGGGACCTGGAGGCAGGCAGCCTGTGTGTGAATCTGAATTCCGCCCCTGACATCTCCTGGGACGTCTCTCAGCTGCTTTCTCAGCAATAAGGTTAAGGTCCCACCGGGTCCCACCTCTCACAGCAGTGCCTGCCTCTCCTTTCCACCTCCACAACCACCACGGCCCTCATGCCCTCTGAACTATACCCCTGGCACACAGCCAGGTCTCCTACACACCACTTCTCCTTCCCATCCATCCTGAGGAAAAACTGGAGGACTCAGCCCTGTCCCATTGGAGAAATTCCCTACGTTGACACAAATTGGCAACTCTCTGTAACTTGTGGAGAAAAACAGATCTTTCTCATGTGACCTTAGGTCACTGCTATCTATTAGGGACCTCACTTCACAGCTATGGGCGCATTGCTGGTCAGAGGCCTAGGCAACCCTCAGCTAACTAGAACTGCTAGCTAGCCAATGAGCTCTTCCAGATCTGCTCTCCTCCTGGGGCAGCTGCTCTAACATGGGAGACCAGCCCAGAAAGGCCTGCTTGAGGGTGGCCGCCCCATCCACCGTGGCCCCTCTGGGGAGTGGGCACACGCTGCCCCTGGCACCCTGGAGATGGACAGGCGGGGGGGGGCATGCCCAAGGCCATCATGTCACCAGGAAGTCCCTGAGCAAGAGGGATGTTATGGGAACAGATCACAGATGGAGGAGCATAAAAATGAGGAAGTGAGAAGAGGAAGAAGGCGGTAAACGCGCACCACAGCATGTGTGCCAGGCCAGCCTCGCAGAGTTCCTGCAGATGTACCTCATGTGCACAATGGCAGTGTGTTCCCCTGGTTCTGGGACCATGGGTCAGCACCATCAGCCTTGGGCCCTTCCTTAATCCCACGCAACACCCATCCAAAAATCACTCCGTTTTCTCTCACCTCTGCGGCATCCGTCTGTTTATTCCTTGCGTTCTCTCCTTGCTCCGAAGTCCACAAATTGCCCTTGTCCAGACGGCCACGAAGACAAGCGAGTTCTTTCTCTCGTTCCTGAATTCACATCGAACAAAATAAGCCCTGCTGGCCTGAAAGCCAGGCAGGCGGCCACCTGGAGCCCACCTCCCCCCTGGCCCAGGCCCCGAGGACAGGGGCTTCCAATGAACCATCACTGCAGCCCACGCTGGTCTCCCCCAGCGGCCACTGCCCGCCTCACCCACCTGCTTGAGCTGCTGGCTAAAGGTGGCGGAGGACGGCGCTGCCTTCTGCTTCAACAGCCTCTCCTGGAGGGCCTTCGTGTTGGGGGTGACGAGGGGGGCACGAGGCGGGGTCAGCACCACGGGGCTCACCCTGCTGTGCTCCTGGCAACGTTCTCCAAAACGCTCCAGGAAAGGCTTAATGCCGGCTCCCCCTACACACACAAAACCGAAAACCAGGCGTCACCGCGGGCCAGCAGGGGAAGACGGAGGGGGAGGCCGGGCAGGGGCTCCCCCCAAGCCACCCTAGGTGGCAGATGCGGGAGGCATAGACAGGGGAGGCCCAGGAGGAAGGAAGAGGCTGCTGAGATTGAGGACCCTGAGCCCCCACAGACAGGGGAGGCCCCTGGAGAACTCTTTGAAAGAACATCTTGAAAAAAGCCCCAATTCCCTCAGCTTCTCAGACGCCCATCTCTCCCTGCTCCCTCTATCTACTTCTTGGCTGGCGCCCAAACTGCCGGGTAGCCCTGGTCACCTGACGCGAGGCGGTCCAGTGGTGGCCAACGAGTCTAAGGTGACAGGGCAAGTCTCCCCACCAAGTCCCTTCCCTTCCGTCTCAGTGACAGACGGGAACCTGCATCTACTGGCCAGTCAACTGCTGTCCACGCAGTCCCACCAGATGGGTTGGGAGGCCAAGAACGCTGGGCAAGCAGTTGGAGGGTTGAGGGGAAGGGGGACCATGGTACCCAGAGCACTGGGCCAGGAGTCAGGAAGAGAGAGTTCAAATCCAGCCTCAGATACTTACTAGGTGTAAACTCTGAGCAAGTCACTTAGCCTGTCTGCTTCAGTTTCCTCGACTATAAAATGGGAATGATAATGGCACCTCCCTCCCAGACTAGCTGTGAAGAGCATTTTCTAACCCTTAAACCACTAAATAATTACCGTGATTGCGATGATCATCATTCTTGTTATGATTTTGGCAGGCCCCAGCTCTGCCCCTATACCTGCCTCGACCCCTGGGCAGCCTCCAATGGCTGCTGTTCTCTGCCCCGCAATCCACGGTTCCTTCCGTCTGTCTGCATCTAGCTGGGGAAATCCCAGGCCACACCCCCACCACAGCGCCTCGCAGCCCGTGTGCTCACACATGTACACACCCACGTGCGCTGAGCACATAGCTGCACACTTGCAGCACACGCACAGGAAGATCTGAGAGCTCCTCGAGCAAGAGGGCCTGCGGCCGCCAGGCACACCCAGGCCCTGAGGGCTCACTAAGTACCTACTCAGAGCGCCAGTGACTGGCCCGTGTAGCTACTCTGTACCAGAAGCAGGTCTCAAACCCAGCTTTTCTGGCTCCCAGGCCGAGCCTCTCCCAAAAACAAGCTAAAATCACACGAGGGTCTCAGGTAGGGGTCCATTTCCTCACGTGCAAACTGCACAGGTCGGCTCCACTAAGCATCCCCCAGCTGTGACCCTCACCCCACCCCACCCCCCAAGCTGCGTGCCAGCCTGGTCCCTCCAACCACCGGACCTCACCTGGAGTCGCAGCCTGGTCTTTCGGGGAAGGCCCCCGGGCTCCTCGGGACTGCCCGGGTCGGGACGGAGTGGGCCTGAAGCCAGGCTTCACAAGCTCGCTCTGCAGGGTCTGGCTAGCAGGGGTTTCAGGAAGCAAACCCGCATCCTGCCCCTTTCCTCGGGTGGGGCTGCTTGGGGGCGTCGTGCAGGATTTCACTGAGGAAGGAGTAGCTTTCTGAAAAAGCAAACCCAGGTGAGGCTCGATCTGGGCCCTCCCACAACCTGGGCCAAGGCCAAGCCGAGGTCTCCTTACTGTCCCCGGGCAAGCTGCTGCCTAGGGGTACGACACCTGCCCGCTAGGCAGCCCCCTGCATTCTTGGGATGCCATCTTTGGTTACAGCTGTTCCGGGACCCTCCTCAGTCTGGCGGAGAGCACGTTAAACACCATTCCTCACCTGGTGTTGTCAGGGTCCCGTGAGGCCCCCATCTCCTTAATACCTGGAGCTGCCCTGGGAGCGTCCAACCCTCCACCCAGCCGCTTCCCACTTGGCTGAGCTCTCTCCTGTCCTGGCACACTGGACAAATAAAGTCCCTCGCTATTACCATCCCTATGATGCACACCCCATGACTGGAGGAAAAGACGCCTCTAGGTCACTGAGTCGCTGACGGTCCCCGACCCACAAAGACACACTCACCTGAGGGCTACCGCAAGCCGCTGCCACCCAGCTCTGAGAGGCCTCCCCCGAGGCGGCCGCCGAGCCGGCCGCCGCGGCCCCTGACTCCAGGCGGGAGCAGCCGGGCGCTCTCTGGCCAACAGTGCTGCTATTGATGCGAGCAGCTGCTCCCGCAGAGGAGGAAACGGGGGACAGACAAGCTGTGCCAGGCTGCTCTTGGCCACGGCTGGGCTTTGCAGATGGACGGCTGAGGTCATCTTCCCAGGAACAAATGGTGGCAGCAAGGTCGGCCAAGCGGCCCCTTCTCCCAATCGGGGTGGCCGCAGGCCCATCTGTGCGGGGAGCAGGGGCTGGGCCCGGGGTCAGAGCTGGAGGCGGGGGCTCGAGGACTCCGTCTGAAAGGAGAGAGAGAGAGAGAATGACCCAGGAGGGCCAAGGCCCAGTACCACATGGGTCCTTCCCTGAAGGCCCTCCCCACGCTCTTGTGAGGGCTACGCGACACATCTGTCCTGGATGGCCCCATCGAGAACCCAGGCAGTGCCTCCGTGGCCCCGTGGCTCAAACACAAGCTCCCGGGCGGCTCTTTGAGCTCCAGCCCCGCTTCCAGGCTCCCGTCTATCTCCTTCCTGAGCTCTGTGCCCCTGCTCAATACGCCTCCTCCCTGTCCCTCTCCTGCCTCAGGGCCTTTGTCCTGGCTGGGCACCATGCCAGGGGTGCTGTCCCTCCTCACCCCTGCCTCAGAAAATCCCTCATTCCCTTCAAGACTCTATTTTAGCATCACTTTCTATAGGAAGTCATTTACTGATCTCCCCCAACTGCACCTATTTGTTATATCTACACACGTGTGTGTGTGTGTGTGTGTGTGTGTGTGTATGTGTGTGTGTGTACATGTCCATGCACACAGGTGCATATGTATGTATACAGGGTGATCCCAACATCTGAGCATGGTCTGAACTAGGCTTCAGTAGCACCAGCCTCAAAAATCACTTCTTGTGGACTGATAAGATCGTCCCCGGGTGGGGACCTGAATGTGTGGGGCCACCCTTGGCCCTGGAGGGGCAAGCGCCATCCCCGCCATCTCACGCTCTGCTTACTGGACACGTCCTCTGACAAGCCTCCAGGGGGTGATGCCATGTCACACATTTCTTGGGCCTCCAGGACACCCTGCTGCTGGCCTCCCGCCTCTCCTGGCCAGAGGTCAGGCTGCCTCCCCCTGGCATCTGGGTTCCCTGAAGTCTAAAATCTCGGGTTGGGTCTTCTGTCAGGGACCGACATAGGATCAGTGGGAGGGACACAGTGATGCCAGATGGAGAAAGGCTGGGCAGTGGGCAGGCAGGAGAGATGAGGCCTCCGCACACATACCGTCACCGTCGCTATCCCAACCGCGACGCCGCTGCACCAGTATCTGCATGCGAGTTTTCACAGAGGAGGCCACAGGCATTTCCGTTTTGGCGGTCGGCATTTCTGCCTCCTTCACCAGTGATCCGGACTCCCCTGGGGGCGTGCCAGTAGCAGAAGATGACAGAGGCTGGGCCGAGGTGTGAGAAGGCAGGGGTTTTGGAGAGCGAGGAGCCACCGGCTGTTTGTTTGCCAGGTGAGAAGCCGGCACATCAGCATGCTCTGAACAAGGTCGTTTTGAGGGTGATGGCTTGGTACAAGGTCTTTCTAGACAGTAAACAGGGTAACGATAATGTTAGGGCATCCCAATTTGTTTTTTAAAATCAAAGCTTCTACAATTGCTCGTTTTCCTGTGAATATCTTCTGTAAATGTGACTAGCATTCATACAGCTCTTCCGAATTGGCAGAATGGTCTATACATCCTCTCTCCTCTGAGCCTCAGGACAACCCTGTGATGTTGGTCCTGCTCATATCCCCATTTCACAGGTGGGAAAGCTAAGACCGCAAGGTCCAGGGACTTGCCCAAGGTCACTCACTCAGGTCTTCCTGAAAAGAACCACGGTCTGAGAAACACCAGTTAGTCACTTACAGCAGGTCCCTTTTTCTGACAAAAACATTACAGAATACGGCCTATAATTGCCCCAGGAAATACTTCAAATCCTAAATTCTTTGAAAGAATTAGGGACACCCATTAAGAGAAATGGCCCAAATTTCAGACATGATTTCTGAGGCATGAGAGCCACTTAAGATGCCCGTCCCCGGGGCAGGTAGGTGGCACAGTAGACAGAGGATGGCCCTGGGGGTCAGGGGGGCCTGAGCTCAAAACTCCCTGTCCTACACTCCCCGCACCCCTGGGCAGAGGGGGCAGATATTCGCAGGCATTTTCACTCTATTGACAGGTGGTGATGATTTTTTTCTTCTCTTTTTTTTTTTACTCTTATTTGTCACATGGGACAACTCTCTGGGAGGGAGGAGATACCAGAGGAAATTATAGCAAGACATACAAAGAAATAAAAGACATGGAGAACAACCTATTTTTCAAAAGGGAGCCCAAAGCCCTGCCTGAAGCCAAGGCTTCTAGCACACTGCTGATTCTTTAAGCCCACTTAATGAGGGCCATTTCCCTGCCTCAGGGTTCTCCAGCTACAAACACATTCCCCACTTGGAGAAATCACCTGTTTAATTCTCTTCACTTGGCATGATTTTCTGGGGTAGAATCTGGGCCCTGGTCCCACTGCCTGCAGGCCCGGGACCACCGTGGAGCCTTAGGAGAGCCTGACCTTGTGTCCCAGGGCTCCAGCCTCGTCCAAGTTTGTAAGCCAAGAGCAGTTGGGGCAGCTGTAAGGGAGTCATTCCCAGCCTCCCTTCTTCACGAGGACCAAGGCCTGGATATGAATCCTTAGACACGCCTCCTTCTCTTCCAAGGGCATTTCCTAGGCCCTCTCCCTCAAAGGGCTCTGAGGAAACCCCTTCCCAAACTTCATCCTCCACCCCTTTGTCCCGGGATCCTGCTCAGAAGCCTCAGCTGCAGCTCACACTGGCCGCCTCCTCTGCTCGCTCTGTCCCCAGGCTGCTCAAACTAAGGACAAGGGCAGGTACAGCCTAACTCTGGCTTGGCAGGGGTTGTCCCAGACCCCCCCCACTTCCTCTGTCCACCAAAGACCTCCCTTTCTGCTCTAGACCAAGACCAAGACCCTCCCTCTGAGCTCCCTCCATTCCCCCTCATCATTCAGCCTTTGCTCCAGGCACCCCTTGCAGCGGCTCGGCTCCCCTCCCCCACACCATCCTTCAGGCTCTCTTCCTGTGCTCCAGGCTCCAACTGTCCTCTTGCTCCCCCCACACCCCCTTCAGCCTCTCCCTAGCTCCTACCCCTCCTTAATCACCGATGCTCCCACCTTCCCCTGGACCCTGCCACCCAGGAGCCCGATCGTTCAGTTCCTAGAAATGCCGTCTACACTCACTCGAGATCCAGCTTTCAGCCTTCCATACCACTGACACTTCCTCAGGAGTCCACACTAACTCTCCAAGTGTGAAATCATTGACTCTAGGGCCTCGGTTTCCTCGAGGCCTCTGAGGTCCCTCTCTGGGTCTACATCTGGGAGCCTGAGATGCCTCCTCCAGGAAGCTCTCTCCTGGAGCCTGCCAAAGGGCTCTCTCCCCTTCCCCTTGGACACATCATCTCCGTGAATCACCTCTACACAGAGGGCTCCAGCTCTGTGGCCACCCAGCTCCTCCAGGGGGCTGCCACCATGGCCCAGCAGCGGCCCTGCCTCCTGGATCTGTCTCTCTGTCTCTTCTCTCTTCCCCTTTTGCCTCCTTCTGTCCCCCTCATACTCCCTTGGCATGGGGCCTGGCACATAAAAGGTCGCTTAATAACTGTTGATGTTATAAGAATACAAGTCATTTCCCAGTTTATAAATGATCAAAAGATGTGAACAGGCAGTTCTCAGATGAAGAAATTAAAGCCTTCCATAGTCATATGAAAAAATGCTCTAAATCACTATTGATTAGAGAAATGCATATCAAAATAACTCTGAGGTACCACCTTGGACCTATCAGATTGGCCAACATGTCAAAACAGGAAAATGATAAATGCTGGAGAAGTTGTGGGGAAATTGGAACACTAATGCATTGTTGGTGGAGTTGTGAAATGATCCAACCATTTTGGAGAGCAATTTGGAACTGTGCCCAAAGGGCTATAAAAATGTGCATACCCTTTGACCCCAGCAATAGCACTTCTAAGGCTATATCCCAAAGAGATTATACAAACAGGAAAAGTACCCACATGTACAAAAATATTTATAGCAGCTCTTTTTGTGGTGGCAAAGAATTGGAAATTGAGAGGATGCCCATCAACTGAGGAATGGCTGAACAAGTTGTGGTATATGAATGTAATGGAATACTATTGTGCTATAAGAAATGATGAACAGGCTGACTTCAGAAAAACCTGGGAAGACTTATATGGTCTGATGCTGAGTGAAGTGAGAAGAACCAAGAGAACATTACACAGAGTAACAGCCATGTTGTGCGATGACTAACGCTGATAGACTTAGCCCTTCTCAGCAATGCAAGGATCTAAGACATCGCCAAAGGTCTCATGATGGAAAATGCTATCCACATCCAGAGAAAGAACTATGGAGTTTGAATGCAGATTGATGCATACTATTTGCTATTTTTTTCTCTCTTCTGTTGTGTTTTGTTTCCTCTTTCTGGCAGTTCCTCCTATTGGTTCTAATTTTTACTTACAATATCACTAATGTGAAAATATGTTTAATAAGAATGTGTATATATCTATATATATATATACATAGCCATAAAAAAATAAGAATGTATATATATATACATAGCCATATCTATATATATATATATATATACATAGCCATAAAAAAATAAGAATGTATATATATATATATACATAGCCATAAAAAAAATAGTAACTGTTGATGGACTCAGGGCTCACATCCCCGTGGCTAACTGGGCCTGGGACAGACCCTGGGGCTGGCTGCTGCCCACCATGCCCTCTGGGACTACACTCTACCCATGTTTATCAGGCAGTGGCTCTGCACTAGGCCTAGTGGGAAGCTGCCAAAATCCCCACCTCCTTCCTCCTCCAGACCTGAAGTGAGAATAAATGCAAACTCCCTATTCTGGCAGCTAAGCCCCTCCCCACAGTGTTTCCAAGGCACCTAGGTAGCCTTAATTCCTAAGGCCCATAAGCCACTCTCCAAAGCTGCCCTCACCTCCAGCCCCTAGGCCTTTATCCAGGTCAATCCCTTCTCATCTCTGCCTGAGACTCCTTCAGTTCATGGCTCAGCCTCAGAAACCACCTCTTCCATGACACTACCCTGCTCCTTCCCCGCCCCCCACCACTATCAGCCCCCAACCTCTGTATTATATTTGGGTACATACCCCACCATGGAATACAAGCTCCCAGAGGGCACTCATTCTCTCCCCATTGCCTCCTCCACCCAGTTTCTTACACACAGCAGGCGCTTAATAAACGCCCAGGCTATCCTCTACTCAAGATTTCTGCAGCTGACCCTGTGCTGACAGAGCAAAAAGCCACAGGCCACGTGCCCCCAGGACGTTACCTTCCCCCTCTCTTGGGGGCAGCTGGTTACTGGTTTCTGTAAGCGGTTCCCTCAGTCTCTTGGTGTGGGCTGCGACCCTGCCTGCCACCTCAGGCCGCTCAGCCATCTTTTTCTGAAGCTTCTCTCGTCTGGCACGAGTGCGTTCAAGCAGTTTCTGAGGAATTGATGCAATCAATGGTCAGTGAAGCACAAGGCCAAAGGCCCCACACCACTGAAACAAACACACTGGGACCTGACGCCCAAATACAACCCATGAGACCCGCACAAGGAACCCCAGTCTTGGGAATGAGAACAGAACAAGCCAAATTACCATGCTAAAACACAAGAAGAGCCACTTTTGAAAAGGAGAAACCTGGGGCAGCTAGATGGTGCAGGAGATAAGAGCTCTGGCCTCAGAGTCAGGAGGACCTGAGTTCAAATCTGGCCTCAGACACATGACATTTACTAGCTGCGTGACCCTGGGCAAGTCACTTAACCCCGATTGCCTCATCAAAAAGCAAAAAAAAAACCCTATGAAAATCTCCCATTACATATTACAATAAGGGAAGGACAGCATGAGTGGAGCCCTGACTGATTGGCCTGGCTCAGGGGCTGGGGCCAAGCCACCTAATCTCTCAGTGCCCCAGGCAACTATCTCAAACTAGGAAGTCAGTCAATCATCAAATCAACATTTATTAAGCTCCTACTGTGTGCCAGGAGCTGTGCTGTACTAAGTGCTGGGGGGCCCTGCCCTCCAGGAGCTCACTCCAAACCACCACGGCCCAAATGGAGGAAAGGCCCTGGGCATTTAGTGGAGCTGCCGAAGGCTTCCCATAGAAGGTGGGGCCGGGGAGGTCAGCAGGCAGAGCAGAGGAGGGACAGCGATGAGGGCCTGGGGGCCAGAGAGATGGACGGGAGGCCAGAGTCACTGGACCAAAGAGGACATGGGGGGGACTGAGGTGTAAGGGACTGGAGAGGCAGGAGGGGCTTTGAAGGCCAATCCAAACATTTTGTATTTGCCCTTGAAGCCAGATCTGAGCTGAAGAGAGAATGGATTGGAGTGGGGAGAGACTCGAGGCAGGCAGACCACCCCCCCCTCACAGCAGCAACTGCACTAGCCCAAGCCTGAGGTGATGAGGGACTGCACCAGGGTGGGGCGGGAAGGGAAAGTGGGGGCATATTGGGAGATGTTCCAAAGGTGAAAATGAAGGCTTTGGCAACAGCCGGGGTGGGGGGAGGCCTAGACAGTGATAGGGAAGGGAGGAGGGAGGACTGGGAGGGAAGATGAGGCCCAGAATTAGTCATCTGGATTGGTGGAGTGAGCTTTTGAACCCTCGAATTCCCTGCAGCGCTGGAATCCCAGATCTGAACCAAAAGGATAAAGCTGTTGACATTTTACCATTTCACTGAGTTGTTTCTGAGTTTCACTCAAACTGTCCAAATGAGGAAGCTCTTCTGAAGGCAGAAGCTAGACCGGCTTTGCCTCCCTCCCTTCTACCAAATCCTGGGCCAATGGGCTCGGGCTATAGGGAGGAATTGAAATTCTGAAGAACGTTTCCTTTGAGTTGCCAGCATTGGACCCGAGTCCTGGGTTTTCCCACTATACTGTAGGTCAGTCCTCAACCGGCTTACAAGAACAGTAGGGGTAAACAAAAGCTGGGCAGCAGTGGAGCAAGAATGAATTCTAATGCATTAGTGCTCTGACTCCCACCAAAAGGAAGATGGCCCCTCATTTCTATAAGCTATGCTCCTCTCTATAATTAATGAAGACCAAAGAATTAACCAATGCTGAACTTAAAAGGAGTGTCTTGAGCCAAGGGAAGAGCCATTGCTCCTGGGAACCTTAGCAGCACTAAGAAGCCTGGCAGATCTCGCCCTCTGTCCCTGCACCCAACCAGGGCTAGGCCGTCTGAGTCCCAGTTGTCTGCAAAGCCCCACACAGGCGGCCCATTTCTTGGAGGGAGAAGGAAGTCCTCCAATAAGCTATTTAAGAAGTCGGAAAAAAGGCAGGCTGACCGCTAAGTGGCTCAATTCAGCAGACAATGAACAATCCAAATCGCTGAATTCATGAACTTTCTAGTGTCAAGTGTTACAGAGGCACCCAAGCAATGGGGGAAATAATTTAGAAGATGAATGTTCAAGTTTTCAAACGATGCTTATTTTTCACCACCCCACCCCCACTGGCCTAGACAGGAGAAACAGCCACAGCCGTACCCACTAGCACAATACCAGGCACACAGTAGGTGCCTCAGCAATGCTTAGCTCCTTTCCATGGACAGGTCCACATTCTAGTCTTTTCCACTGGAAAATTTCTGGCAGTTTCTAGTTACTGCATGCAATGTGTCATACCAAAAGAATGTGACTTTGCCCAACAGTCACAGTGGAGGGCCCATGGAGGCTGCAGCCCAGCTCTCCATGCTTCTGACTCACCTTTCTTTTCAAAAGCCAGGGGAAGGAGAACTGAGAAGGGAGAACTGAGGGCCTGGCCTGCCCCACCCAGCCCCAGCTCCCATTTCAGGCTCTGGGCTTGGAAAAGAGAAGAGGTAGGAGGAGGGAGGTGGGAGGAAGGGCAAGCTCAGGCAGGAGGGAAGGGCTGGGAGGTCTCCTCACTAGGCAAAAATGATTTGAATCTGGCCGTTAGCAGCTTCAAAGATGGACTGGGCCCAAAGACTGTGTTCCATCATTCCTTACCTACTAAGGAAAATCCCTCAGGCTGTTTATGTGAACAGAGCAACGGTTCCCAAGTCACACTAATGAGCACAAACTTAATCTGCTAAGAATGCATCTCGATGTCCTGTTACCATGGGTTATCTGGAAGCCTAAAACAAGGCAGAGTAGGACAGAAAGAAGCTGGGCGACCCCTCTGCCAAAATGCCTCTCGGCCTGGCCTGTGTGAGGCAGCCCTGGTAGCCCACCCACCTCCTCTGGGATCCCCTGGGGAATGGTCTCTGACACCTTCCTCTCCTCCCGCCCCAAATCTCTCCTTTGAGCACTAGCCCAACATTCCCATCACTGCAGGCTGGCACTTCAAATTCGTGATGTTTGAAGAACATCCTTCTCCCTAAACCCTGCCCAGCTTCCTCCCCCCATCCTCCCAGCCACCCTGACCCCTCTGCCCCTGCCTTGGAGCAGGCCCCACTGTCAAAGGGGCCGTGCCACTGCCCATTCAATAAACTCCAGGGACCCCTATTTCCTCTAAGGTCAAATATAAAATCCCACTTGGCTTCTAGAGCCTGGCCTTTCCATGTACTCTACAACCCAGTGAAGCTGACATCCTTTCAGCTCCTGCTTCCAGGCATTTTCACTGGCTGGCTGTCTCCCACACCTGGACCTCCTCCTCCTCCTCCTCTCTGGCCTCTCCCGGATTCTCTCAGGTGTCAGCTAAAGCCCCACCTTCCGGGTGAAGTCTTTCCCCCGCTGCTTCGATCTCTGCCATCCTGCTCAACTCCTCTTGTTTATACACATGGTCTCCCCCATGAGACTGAGCGTTCCTCAAGGGCAGGGGCTGCTTTTCTGCAGGGCACACAGTGGGTGCTTAATCAATGCTTGGACTCTGTGACTTCAGCCACAGCAGATGTGACTTCCTCCTTCACAGCCAATCAGCTGCCAATGCTGCCCCCCCCCCCAATAGCTGGCTGGTAATCCCACAGGCACGTCTCTCCCTAGTCAACTAAGACCTTCATTATCTCTTTAAGAAACTGCTAATTAGTCTCTCCTGCCTCCAGTCCTTTCCTGGCATGAGTCAAAAACCTTCTTTATGCACAGAGGTCTAAGTCCGCTGAAGACCACTACCTACACCTACTCGTTCACTAATTCCTTACTGCCTGAAGACTAAAATACAAAGTCCTACTCCTTTCACTCAGTTCAATAAACCCATCTTCTGAGTGGACTGTGTGCAGTGGTTGGCCACGCCTCTAATCATTGGGCTTGTACAACGCCAGTAAGTGGGTGGGGCCGATCAAGGAGGACTGAACAGCCCACAGTTGGAAAAGCCTAAAACTTCCTTGAGGGATGGACCGGGATGTGGCCACAGCATTCCCAGCTGGGCAAGGAGATCCAGGTCAAAGAAAAAGGGGAAGGGGTGGGAAGGACAGTTATTGTGAGCTGGGCACCATGCCTGGGGGGAGGAGATACAAAGAGATGTTTCAAGAAACAATCCCAGCCCTAGAGGAGCTTACACTCTACTTGGGATTGGATTAAGTCCTGCTTCTTCCCCACCCCACTCCTAATTCCAGAACTATAGTTTCCTACTATCCTGTCCCCAGGCCACCCCACTTCCACGCTCTCCAGCCCTGAGAAATGCTTCCTTTCCATTTCTCAGTCTGTTCCTAGTCAGATTTGGAGCTGGAAGAGGCTGTGGGAAGTCATCAAGTCATCTAGTCCTACCCCCACCTTTCACAGATGAGCAAACTGAGGCCCTGACAGGTAATGTCACCATTCAAAGTCACAGAGATAACTAAATCAAACAGCCCTCTGATCAAATTACCAGGCTGTCTCCCTGCAGACATTCTTCTCTTCCTCAAAAGGTCCAGCTTACATTAAAAGGGATCTTTCTCTTCTGATTATCCTCCATCTTGTACCACACTTCCTAGAGTATGATCTCAACTATTAGACTGCAGGCTGTATGGAAAGGCATCCCTACTACCTTGTACACAGTAGGTACTTAGAAATATCTGCTGAAGTGAAGTGAAAGCTCCTCAGTCTAACCAGCCACCCCTCAACCATCCCCCTACAAAAATTGGTTTGCCCAGGAAGTTCCTTGGACAGGCTCCAGGCCATTCAGCTCAAACTTCACCTGTCTCCCCAGCCCCGAACAATGACAATAATAAGGACAGCAGCTAGCATTTATTAAGCCACTCTGCTAATAAGTATCTGAAATGGGATTTAACCTAAAGTCTCCCTGCTCCAGCCCCAGGGCCATAGTCACTGAGTCACTGAGCCACTCAGCCGCCGGTAAAGTACAGAAATGAATGAAATGTATCAGGCACAAGGTTGACAATCACATTTTCCTAGTTAAACAATTCAGCTCGGTCTTCACTCTATGCAATCACTGCCATTTTCTTTGAAAACCCGGTAAGCCCAAGACTGGATGAAAGGGACTGCTCTTCCCTTTAGGCTTTACAGGTCTGGAGACCCGAAGGAGCCGTCAATTTCGAAAGGTCAGTTACTAACGCGTCAGTTATTGCCCGCCCGGACTCCACCCCGCCGCGGGCGTTTTCCCTTACAGCCCGGACTAGTTTGAATTCAGACGGGGGCGTCTGGGCCCAGCCGGCCTAACTGAGGAGGGAGGGGCCTTCTGGGAGGAGGAAAGGGTTTCCCGAGGTCACGTGGCCAGTAAATGACAGCGCCCGCCCTTCCCCTCCCCCCACAACCGGTCTCGGAATCTCCGAGCTTCAAAGGGATTCCGAAAGCTCCTGGTCCAATCCAGACCTGAACCAAGAATGACTCCCCAAAACAAACTCCACAAGCGGCCTCTGCTCAGGCACCTCTGAGGAAAGGGAGTAGCCCATACTCCCCTATTCCATTCTTGGAAATCTCTAACTTCATCAGGAAATTTTCCACAATATTTCACTTTGGGGATGACAGGTCAGAGTACGGCTGGACAGTCACCCCTGGGCGCTGGGCCCCTCTTACAGCAGCCCCAAATCGCATGGACTGATTCTAACAACTCCCTGCCCACCCTGGCCTCAGTTTCCCCATCTGCAAGTCAGAGTTGAACCAGGTTAGCAATACTCCCTTCAGCTCTGGACCTTCTAGACCCATTGTGATCCCAACGACCAGACTGCTAAGAGCCTCCCAGATCTGCCTTCTTGTCCCACCCATCCTGCTCTTGGCACGTTGAATTGTTGCATTCAAATATCCAAACTGGACATGGTTCTCTCTCCAGCGTCATCCAGTCTAAGTGGGCCGGAGTCCCAGCCCGAGCTCCGAGAGACCACATCCCTCTCCCACGCCCAGACCCTCGCCTTCCCGGCTCCAGAGACCCCAGACGCGTGCGCACTGGCAGTCCCCTGCGAGCCCCCTGGGGGAGCCGGACACCCGCGCGTGCGCATTAACAGCCTCCCCGCGCGAACGAGGTGTTTCTCTCCCTCAATCCCCCTCGCGGCGAGTGCGCACTGGCAGCGTCTCCGTGGGCCCCGAGGGGACCCCAGCACCGATGCCCCGATCTCTGAGACCGAGGGAGGAGGGCAGGGGCAGGAGTGAGGAAGGGGCCAGAAGCTGCGGCCTCAGCTCACCTCGGTGAACGGGTCCATCGCGCCCAGCGCAGCAGTCGGCCCGCAGACTCCGCCGCTCCGGCGCCGCCAAGAAAAAGGGTAAGTGTGGGCCTAGGGCTCCGGCGGTGTAGGCCGGGCTGGGGTCGAGATCGGGAGGAGGGGGCGCCGCGGCCGCGCTCAGCTCGTTTAGCTTTGGGTCGTAAGCACCCACTCCTGTGCAGTGGCCCCGGCTGCCGTTCAAATTTGAATTTCAGCGCCCCGGAGCTGCGCGTGCGCGCCACGAGGGGGGTGTGTCCCGGCGCCCCTGGGCGCTGACGCAGTCACGTGACTCCCTCGCTGGAGCCGGGAGGTTAGCTTTGCGGGTGCGCCGGTGAGGGGGCGGTGCCTGCCTCCTGCGCGTGCAGCCTGGGCGCTGGCTCCTCCCAATGTGGCTGTGCTAGAGTCTTTTCCGTTTAATTCCATCTTTCTTAATCCTTTGCTGTGGCCCGGGAGCAGGAATGGCCCAAGTCCGGGTTTCCTGCCAGGCTGGAGCTATGGCTATGGAGGTCATCCAAGGCAGTCCCCTGCTTCAGCTTCTTAATACTCGGGGAACCCACTATAAAAGCCTCTGCCTAGG